TGTATAAGAGACAGTATATATATATATAACGAGTCAAATGCTATCAGATGTGTCCTGTTTTCTTATTTTGACAAATTTAACTGGAGTATTTTAAATATTATGAACATTTTTAATATTGTTAAATTGAATTATTCTGTACATTTCAAATTTTCCTTAAATTTGCAATAAATTTATTTATAGAATCTAGAATCTTGAATCTTGAACCAGATATGCCACAAAATTTAATTGAAATAAATAAATGTTGTGGCATATATCTCTACCATTTGACATTATTATTTACTGTATGTATATTTGCCTATACAGCCCCACCACTATTTGATCCCTGCAACTCTTTGAGTGGCAGAATCCGAGTTACAACAAAATAACTCTCATAGTCTACCGTGAAGTCGTTTCATTATATGTATAGAGGTAGGCCTAGGCCTATATGTTATATATTATATAGGCCATATATTATTTGTTCAAATATCCGGCCATGTGGAGGTGCATTAGGAGTATTAGCGATCGGTTAGTCCTATTATCGGTATTCCCATATTGATCTTTGGTTCATATGATACCCCTTCATTAGATAGCTCAGTGGTTTGATGAAATCCCTACGATCTAATTAGCATCATTGAAAGCCCATTGATATGGCATGAGAGACAGAAAGCTTTATTAGAAATTGCAACTGCACGGTACATGAGCGCGCGCCGTTGCCTAATATGTTTTTTTTCCTTCTTCTTCTTTTCTTATTAAAAATAAAATAAAAGGTTATATACACGGACCAGTATCGTTCTTTACCACAAGACTATTTCGTAAACTGATCTCACACCAGTTGAAAACATGTAGGCCTATTATAATTAAACGGAGCTCACTAGTGCCAACAACCATACAGTAAAACCTCGAAGCCCTGGGCTTCTTGTGTAAATCTGTTGTGTAAATACCCCAACATTTATGAGCCATGCTCTCTCGACGATTACATTTTCTTAGATTAAAAAAAAGTGGCCCTTAAATTTTCCAATTTCCCATAAGCACTCCTTTAATTTTCATCTATTTCCATAAGCGCTCCCTCAATTTTCACTCTGTTTTCATAAGCGCCCCGTTTGAATAAGCGCCCCTCAAAAATATTTTAAGCACCTGGGCGCTTATTCGCAAATGGCTACCATATACCGACGTCCAACCAGAGGAGACTCCTCCAGTCAGTTAACTATAGTATGCAAGAGGCTTATTTACATCGACGACAAGGTGGACGAGACTCCCCAGCTATTTAGCCATAGTATGTATGGGGCGTCCCTAAATCGAAGACCATGTGGAGGAGACTTCGGCAGCCTGATAACAGTATTGCATGGTGCTTTTCATGTTGGAGGAAACTCGCTTAGTCCGTTAACCATAGTACATGAGCCCGTGCATGAGGCTTCCAACTCGTTAACGTGGAAGAATTTATGTAGCAGTCCATATTCCTATATTAAGGAAGAATATGGACCGAGGCATCCTAACCCGAAACCAACAGTAGATGGATTATGTAGACCTTCATTTTACTACATTCTGAAATTATGGTCTAAGTGACGAAAATTGAGATTCAAGTCTATCTCGATCTCAGAATACAATTTTTGAAATTGAAATCAACATTACTCTTTGTCTCACATATTGGAGAATTTTAGCTAGGCCTATATTTCCTTTCGCATTGAGTGCATGGGTTATTACCGCAACATTATATTTCCTTGCATTAATGTCGGTAGCGACGTCATTCGGCCTCTAGGCATTATAACTCATCATCAAAATCGAGTTTGATATTCACTTCCAAATGCATCGCTAGAAATTGATTCATTGATGGTCATACCAAAATACATCCTTATCTGACTCACTAAGAATTGCAAGAAATATATACTGTACGTCACTACAGAAGGTACACTAGCGGCTAGTTGAATTGAAACTCTTCAATGTTAACTTATTCACTTTCAATTCATGACTCATCAATTTTTCATCATATACTTGACACCTTCACTAACAACTGATTATCCATAAAACCGTGTATGCAAATTTATGACGATGATTGTAATATTGTGACGTCATGTTTAGTTACAAAATGTCGATATTGGTGCAATTTCAATGGACAATCAGTTTCTTAAAAAAGAAAAGACGGTTTACAAATTCTAAATGCATATTCATGAGCTGAGATGATCATGATAACTGATTGGTTACAACTTTGATGACGTCATGTATAATTCAGTTATACGATACAGTATTGATGCAAATTGAATAGGCGGCGAGATGTGGGTTTAATCATGCTTTAGGTGGTCGGTGTCTTACCGTTACTGCTGCAAGCCCTCAAGGTGCTCCTCATACACAATTTGAACGTCAACCGCGGATTATTGCTTTGATATTCTGATTAGATATTCAGAACAGGCTACGTCACCCGATGCTTCTCAAAGTGTAAAATGAATATATAATACCATATCATATTTCGATCCCATTATTATGAATTCTGAGTATCTTTTCTCGTTTCAGCGTTGGATAATGCTATCTGTGCCGATCATTGTTATTATTTAATGGTGATTTTTGTTTTAAAGAAGTAATTAATAGATAAATTATAGTCAACATGCGTCCGTACTTGCAGGTCTGTAACGTATGTGGCAATACTGAACTATTTATTAATGGCGGACTGCGGCTAGCGGATTGCGGCTGTGTTTAACGCCTTAATAATTCGTAAATTTGTAATCTGTAGATGTACAAATTACACTTAATTCAGCGATAAATCAGATTATAAACAAATAGAGTGTCTTGCCTAAGGACGTACACAAGCCAGGGCTTGAACTCCCGACCACGCGGTTGAGTGTCCGAACCTAAACACACCAACCGCTTTCCACATAAATAGGCCTCGTATTATTTAATGATTCTACGAAAACCACGTTTATTTTAAACATCAAAAACGTTATTATAACATCATCGATGCCGTAACCAGCTATTGGGAGAGTTGGGACAGTCCCACACAATTTTTCTAATGAGTCCACAAATAATGGGTCCACATTTTAACAATGTGTCCAAATTATATAATTGTATGCATAAAATGGGTCCACTTTTTGAGAAATAGATCTAGATTTCTCATATTTTTAGCTTAAAATGGGTAAAAATGTAAGAAAATGGATCCAAATTTGTCATATTTCTCTGTAGAATGGGTCCACGTTATTTAAATTTACGCGTTTTACGCGTAAAGTGGCCACCCTGATATTGTCCCGCACTGTTTGAAAATCCTGCTACGGCATTAAAAATGTTATTATACTGTTACAAAATATGTGTTAGCTGGGTTCATTTACAAAAAAGGAATTCAAATTATAGTGAATTTTATTGTTTAAGTATATATACTCAACACACGGACTAATGTCCTTATAAGATTATGTACCGGGATTAAGAATTGCATGCGTGGTCAGTAGTATGGGTTTATTGACCTCACTGTAGCTTGTGGCTACTACAATGTTTTTGCTGACGACGATGATTTTAATTTTGTATGGCTATCTGAAGAGACATCTTGTTTTTAATTATTAAACCTGCTCTACCCTGAAACAAACATAAAGCAAACATGATGCAAAAGGTCGGTAAGGAAGTTTTAAATTTCTTACTTTTTTCAAATTACTGTCTTCAATATCAACATCGATCATATCATACCACATGTTTTTATGATTTTAAAGGTTAAAGGGTATCAGATATTTCAGTCGTCGTTACTACTACGTTCGTTAGTCTTAAATCGCATAATTTGTTCTACTTTACGCTATATATTAATATCAGTTACAAAACTACAGCTGTTTCTGTTATTTTTTTAAAACATCACACTTTACGAGAGTTAAAGTATTCCACCAATTACTGTATAGGATATGCTCTAATGCTATGTATCTATGCTAGCCAGCATGAAATTACCCATAAAAATAATTCTCATTATTTTATGTGACAAGTGAAGCAATTTTCAACACATTCACAGGCCTGTTTGACAAATAAAGTATTCAATTCAGTGGATGGTCCAGACTACCTCACGGTGTATGTCATTTCTAGATGCCCGGCAATGGCACTCTCAGACTAAAGATTTTAATGTATTTTTCTGTTTCCCTCATTATTTTTTTTATTTCTAAAAAAAAAATAGGTTGGAGAACCCCACCCTACCCACACTCATGAATTTGCATATGCATTAATATTTAATTTAAATTTCATGAGGATAGCCTCACAGAGCTGGCTATCCAGTTAGGCCCATTATACCTACACTGTTAAAAACAGCGTGGAACATTTAAACACAAAGCTCCACGCAATGTTGTCCCGTTTTTGTGTTTAGGTTTCTGACGTGTTTAGCATTAATTGTGCTTAGGTATTTGACATCATGATGTCAAATACCTAAGCACATTCAATTCTAAACACATCCTTAATACATTAAACTATGTCTAAACACGTTTAGCTTTCAAACGTGTCACCAAAAACGGTACAACATTGCGTGGAGTTTTGTGATTGAATCCTCCACGCTGTTTCTACAGTGTAGGATTATTATTAATCGTGATTTACTTTGTGTACAGTATATAATTCTTTTATCAATCACACATACTACTATTGAGTTTTTCCGAAATGTCAATTTCATGACCTAATTATTATTATTATTATTATTATTATTATTATTATTATTATTATTATTATTATTATTATTATTATTATTATTATTATTGTTATTATTATCATCATCATTATTATTATTATTATTATAGCCTTTAGTTATTTCTTGCATTTAGTTAATGTCTATATATTTAGAATGTTATTTATATAGTTAATATTTATACATGTGACTTGTTGATATATTAGCAGCATATGTCATGATTAGGCCATGAAGCAAGTAACTTTCAAATTTATTTCGTCTGTGGTTGGGGCCTTAAAGGTGCATTTACACTGATTTAGTTTGTGTGCAGTACATATCGTTTTATCAATCACACATACTACATTTTGGACTTTTCCTAATTGTCAATCAAACTTAACAACTGACCAATAACAGTGTCAAGAATACGCGCTTGTCTAACAAACGCACGTGTTTATGCTGTCGTTTTTGTGGACCTAAGCAACAATATCCAAGGGGCGGGGCTTGGCAGACGGTCCACTTTACAATATACTTATTATACTGAAATATTCGGAAAGTACTGTAATTGCTATGTGTTACCGGTACCGGTAATTGTTATGTGTTAAATGCATTTTAATCGATGTACATTGATAATTCATAATTAACATTGATGCAGAGTGTGGTTGGTATTTTGCCTTGGTGTTGCCTTGTTGTGAAACTCGCATTATGAACGCAAAATTTAACTTCACTTTTGGTAACTCGAAAACATTTTATTTTCACTAAAATTAAACATGTTATGTATTGTCTCTTATACACATCT